TGATTTTGACAAAACGGGTTGTTAAACACAAATGTTGTGAAAGGAAAACATGCAGTAGATCGATGAACAAATAATCTAAATAAAATACTTGTTTTCTTCTTAAGTCACTAATGATCTGCTTCTTCACCATCGCGGCAGTTAGAATTTTAATCAATAATCAACAAGTTATTTATACTTTTTGATATATATAATTTTGTTATTTTTGAAAATATTTCTCAAAGAAGTTTGTCAGGTTGACTAAACTGAGATTCATTTATATTTTCCGTCGGTTGCATATTATTTCAAAGGTCTAATTAATGTTTTCTTGAGAAAAGAAGAGCGATTTTATAGCGATATTGCAAAGGTTTTTATAACTTCAATTAATGGTTTTTAAATCTTAAATCAACGTAAAACGTTTGAGAACATATGGAGCACACAAAATTAGTTTTGTACTGAACAAATAATAAATACATTTTTTAATATTCCCTTTCAACTTATAAAATATTATAATTTCAACTATAAAATTATTTATATATATGTATTACTATTATTGATACATTTTAAAGCTTATTTTCGGTTTGTTTCAATTATTCTGCCGATAAGATTCGTATGCATATATTTGTCTTTAGATTTTTAGATTAATCGTACTTACTCAAGTGAAACAGTTAATCAGCCCAGTTTTTCCTTGCTATTTTGCAGGTTCATCCAAGTCATGGAGTCTGCTACATTCCATTCGGTGGAAGGGAAATTGGACATGACTCTTACGAAATTTTGGTCTTGAGAAACTAAATGTTTCGGACTAAAACTTACAAATTCGTTAACAATTATTGTCTTTTTGAAACCATTGTTGTAGCTGTACTAATAATAAATTTTAGTTTGGCGCTATGAACCGACAAAGTGTAGTTGTGTTATAATGTGCAGTACTGTAACCATGTAACCACACTGTGCATGATCTAGAATTTATTTTGCATTATATAAAATAATTAATATATTTTGTTTTGAAATTATTTGATGCTTTGTTTACTCCATTTTACCAAATTACACATACACCAAAAAAGGTTCTACACTAATTAACATGTAATTCTAGAACAATTTATCTTCTCACTGAATAATTAATTACATTAAATGGTTGCGGGTAATTTTCGTGAAATATTTTAACTGAATTTTTCGAAAAGTACGACTTTTTCTCAGATCCATCCACCATCTGCAAATTTTTGGTTTTTTATATAAAGGTGTGGATTGCGATATAAAGATGTTTTCTTTTCTTTTGAAAAACATATTTACAAGTCAAAACAAAATCAAATGTATGTCTTAATGTGTGTGTAAAAGTAAGTGTTTTGATTGATTTTGATTGATTTACTTAATTCTCCGAGAAGGAAACATTTAAATAGGGAAATTGAGGGTAAATTGGTGAACTTTACATCATATTCCTTTTTAATTGGTAATTACTTGATTTACATTTTTTCTTGATAAATTAACGCATGGCACAATGAATCAAACCAAAGTGTGCACATGTAAATGTACATTAATTATTTATCACAGAGATAACAACCAAGAATTTGATATTAATTCGAATTTGACTTCTTTCGGATATCATTCTCTGTACCCAGACTGTGCCTAAAGTCCATGAATCTTGCCCGTATTAACATTATAGGATATTTGCACGAAACTGTTTTTACACCTTCACTACCTTGTGGAAAACTTTTTTATTTTTGTCTGCTGCAATCCCTTTTTCTTTATTTTCTTCTCGAAATGTTTTTAAGGGGACATTTTATCTAGAATGTAAGAAATTAAGTTAACTGGGGCGTGAACTTTAGGATTCATTGGAGGTAAAGTTGAAACAAGTCTGAAAATCAGAAAAAATTGGCCAGAAAATAAAAAAGAAAAAAATTAAGGTATGAATTATGACGAATTTTACTTTTCCCCTTCCTTGTTCGTCAACCAGGTCCTTCCTACAGTAACAATGTTTATTATTTTCATTTAAATAATCATATTATAAAAATTAAACTACTAAAACATATTTTTTCAAAACAGTTCGCCTAGTGTGAGAGCCTAGAGTGACACCTCGGATTATGACGATTCACGTACGTTCGTCTTTCTGAAGATTAGGCATTTGAACTTGATAGCAGTTGAACCGAGGATACCAGAGGAACGGAAAAAATGAAAAGCCATTTTGAATACCCAACATCCCCAAAGCAATAACTACCCCAAAACACTCCCAAAAGCAAAAAACGTACGAGAATGCCGGAGGAAATAAACCACCAAGAAAGTATACGATAAGCGAAAAAGTCTATTTGAAGTTATTCACTAGAGCTGAAAGCTCCAGTGGTTACAAACGATCAACAGTTGCCCGATCGCATGTTTTAGCTGCTCATTAGCTAACCGATTGTTTTCTCGTTTACTTCAGCTAAAAACTGCTACTTGAAAATATTCTGTTTAATTGATAGTGGCAATTCTCACCTACTTCTACCCATTACTCAAATATTTCTTTTCATTAGATCGCGCTCATGTAAAGTCCTTTTGTAAACAATGCTGACAAAATTACTTAAATTAAAATCTATATTTTAATTTAAATAAACTTAAAACTAACTTATAGACTCTATTAAACTTATAGACTATATAGACTCCAATGAACGGTCACTTGTTGCAGCGCTATTCTGGTAGAGAATGGCAGACAATACTAAAAAATGCTTGTGTATACAAGGTGGTTTTTTAGTGCGATATAGTCCATTATTTCCGATGGTGTTCAACTTTCGAAAAATAGTTTCATATAAAAGTTTTTGACGCACAAAGTGCGCACATTTAAAAAATATCTTATATGACACAGAGTGTCTCAGAAAAGCGAAGCAAGATCAAAGCGTACTTTTTAAATAGAACTACCCATTTTGCATTAGCTCATGGATTGCAGCTTGAAACGCTGCATATGCACCGTAAATTGTTTTTTTCTATCGTTAGATCTTTACAGACACTATTACTTTATAGACACTTATTTAATGAATTCCATAGCCACCTTACAAAATGTAACAACTTTTTGAAATTTTTAATTAAAATAATTTATAATTTGAAAACGGTTGATTTCACAGCTTATACTGTAAATGCAAATGTGTAACTTTGTAAATTGTCTATCTAATGACGTATTAATATACAGGTACTTTAAATTGAAGTCCACATTGGTAACACCCTGTACAATGTATTAATATTTTGGTTCAATAGAATTCTTAACGGATCTGTGGTGATTGGAAAAGGTATTTTTTTGTATCTCTAACTACTTTTTTTTTGTTCGACACTGAATTTTTCGATACCCTGTTTTTAAGCGAAAATTTACTAAAATGGCGATAATCTGCCAAAGTAGCAAGTAAGAAAAAAAAACAATTTAAGGTGCATATGCAGCGTTTCAAGCTGCAATCCATGAGCTAATGAAAAATGGGTAGTTCTATTTAAAAAAATACACTTTGATCCTGCATCTCTTTTCTGAGACGCTCTGTATCATAAAAGATATTTTTAAAATGTGCGCACTTTGTGCGTCAACAACTTTTATATGAAACTAACTATTTTTCGAAAGTTCAACACCAAGGACACCAATGGACTCTATCGCACTAAAAAACCACCCTATATGTTGGTTGCTCCGACAAAAGACAAATAGAAACAATAAGATGAGCTTTTTTAAATTTCTCGTTTCCAAGCCAGTCATTTTAAATCAGTGGATTAATAACTGCGGAAACCCTGAAATTTTTGTACTTGAAGAAGAATCATTGAAAAACCGGTATATTTGTGAAAAACATTTCGAGGAGCAATTTGTTTTCGTGTCTGGTAATCGGAAAAATTGCAAAAAGAAGCAATTCCAATATGCTGGCAAGGTAAGAAAAAGTATTGATAACTGATTATTATTTTATAAATAATATTAACTATCACAGAAGTTTGGAAAAAATTAGTGAAAAGTGAATTATTTTTCCTCTAATAATTTTAATATCGTCACATTTTAAATAAACTATACGATATTTTCTGAAAATTTTCCGTAATATTTTTATTTAAACCTTACTTTTCTATAATTTTATATAGGAATCATAGGCTTTCGCGACTATGCAGGGTGTTCGGAAGCTGTTGGAAATAGTTTCAAGAAAGTTTCAAACGATTTCACAATAAAAGCAGTCAACAAAGGTAAATTCAGAAACATATTGTGCAGCCATTAATCTACTGTTTTACTTAATTGAATAATTTATACAGGTGCAGATTTAAGAACGTAGTCGCGGAAAGGACCACACAATGACACAACAGAAAACATTAAGTTTCGAAATTATTCGTTTGATGGTGTGGTCTATAAGCAATTCTCATTCGAAGTCAGCCGAAAATTTGATGGAAATGAACGCAAATTTAACAATCCCTTCGCCTACAAAGTCGATTTTAAACAAAAAATGCAGTCGTTTAACATCTAAATTAAAAACCTTTAAAAATGAAACTAAAGCGGCTAGAGTGCAAAATTTACGTATTAAAAAAAAGTAAACACATTATTTCTTTTTTAAAAAGCTGTTTAATAATAACTCTAGAAGTGTAAAAACTTTTATTAAAATGCAAATGTTAAAAAAGGGCCATGTCTGGAAAACAGCTGAAAGACAATTGACTTTATCCTTGTATTATAAGTCTCCAAGTTGCCATAAGTTTATGAGAAAAAATTTGCAATTTATTTTGCCGTCAGTTCGTACAATTCAATCTTGGTTAAAAGTAATTAATTTGAAACCCGGACTAGAAAACACCTTAACTAAAAAACTAGCAATTAAAGTCAGAAGTATGTCAACGCTGGAACGTGTATGTGGTATTCTTTTTGATGAAATTGCTCCAAAACAAAAATTGGATTATAATCAATGCCATGATTTCATCGAGGGATATGAGGATTAAGGAGGGTTTCTAGGGCAGGAAACAGATGTGGCTAATACGGCTCTTGTTTTTTATATCAGGGGAATTTGCCATAACTGGAAAATGCCGCTGTGTTACTTTACTTCTAAAGGTCCAGTAAAAGGTGAAGTGTTAGCACAACTAATAAAATATGTTGTACAAGGTTTAATTAAACTAACTTAAATCCCAGCAGCCTTAACATGTGATCAAGGTACTAATAATCGAAACGCGTTTAAAAATTTAGGTGCCTGCAAAAATAGCCCTACTGTAACCATCGATAACCAAACGATCTTTACAATTTTTGACGTTCCACATCTTTTAAAGAGCTTAAGAAACAACTTTATGAACACAAAACTTAATTTTTATGTTGAAGGATTGTTGGTTTCCTGGTTAGACCTTTTAAAAACTTTTGATGCCGGTAGAACAAGTAAGACAACCAGAACACTAACTAAAATTACCGAAGTCCACTTAAAACCAAACAATTTTCAAAAAATTAGGGTAAAGTTTGCAGCTCAAATTTTCTCTCATTCGGTTGCTGCTTCGATAAAATCGGTACAGTAAGTAATACCGCTACATATATAGCAACTTACGTAGATACTGTAAATACCATTTTTGATTCGCTGAATAGCAAAACTTTTTTAGATGCTAATCCTAACAGGCGTCCATTATCATATTCTGTTCCGACCTCTTTAAATAATTTAAAAAGAGAATATTTTAAGACAATTGAAGTATTAGACGAAAAGGGGACAAAAAGAAACAATATATATAATAATAAATATTTGATAACGAGTCATTTAAATCAAGATTCCTTAGAAAATCTGTTTTCTGTTATTAGGAACAAGGGGTGATATAATCCCATGCCAAGTGTGAAGGAATTTAGAGTTGCTTTACAATGTAACATACATATTCGCCTACAAAATGCCCTGATACCGCGAATTGCGAATAAGACTATCAAGAAATATTAAATATAAATGAAATTAACGTCTGAAACAGTCCAGAGTTTTCATCGCAGAATAGCCCGAATAATATTTATTTAAAAGGTGATGAACTCTCGGAGGGGTTTGCCTTTGAAGGTACTTCTGCCCGTATTTCGCACGATACAGAAAAAGATGGTTACCTTATAAACGTGTTCTAACACATGTGACAGGATATTTTGCTCATTTCCTTATTAAAAAAAACGTCAAGAATTACTCAAGTTCTAATTCAATTATGCTCTTAAAAAAGTCATCGCAAATTTAACACAATTATTAATGACGAAATTTATTAGTGTCTTTCAACATATTAAGCTCAATTCCAATGTCTTTAGAACTATTTACGAAATTCTGTTGAATGAAATAAACATAAAAACAGTTAATCTGTGTCCTTTGCATATTGAACGTTTTATTAAATTTCTTACAAAGACACTGTTGAACAAAGAAATTAAGTGGGAAATGTAAAAAGGTTATAAAACGAAAATTATCGAATTTCAAATTATACTGTGTTCCAAGTATTCAAATACTTGTTCCTCTGTGCCTGGAACCCGAACATCAATAGGCAAGATGACAACTTTTCAAATACCGTTGTATAATTTATATACGTATACTTCTACTATATCCGAAAACATCATTATTTCCGCAAGAAATTATATGTTTGCTCAAATAATCGCATTTTTATCTTGCAATTTCATATAAGGCGCGAAAACGCTCGTGGGTGTCATGTCGTCTGCTTGTGACGTCACGACCTTATTCAGTGTGCACCGTGCCTATGTTTAAAGAGGGAAGTTCACAAAATATTACACATTTTGAGTGTTAAAAATGACTTCCAAATTTTACAAGTGCTGTGCGGGTCCTCTATGCACAAACACATCAATAACAACATCTAATAAATTGTTTGTTTTCGTTCTAATCAAGAAAATACTGAGATAAATGGCTAAAGCTCACAATGCGAAAACCATCAGATATAAGCAGGAATACAAAACTTAATTTTTGTAAAGACCACTTTGATGTAAGGATTTGCTTTAGATTGTTAGAGAAATTCAGAATGTTTTTTGAGATTAAATATCAATTATATAAACATTATATTAATCATTTTACAATTATCATTCCCTATAGACTATTTATTCTCCTTTTCGCTGTCTAATGATATGGAAAACTATATGGAGTATCATTTGATGGGTAACGTTTCTAAACCTGAAGCTAAGGAAACAAATAGCTAGCTTAAAACCCTTATTTCTTTGATCCTTTTATACTGTCGTCATGCCTATTGTCGTCCACTATCTTCCTGGAACCACTCTCCTCGCCCCGTGTTGGCGTGAGTTCTTTCAGGTTCTGCTGTTACTGTAGCATTTCCCCTGAACTAATCACAGATCCGCAAATTCGTGAAAGGAAATTCAAAGTAAGTCACAGTTTGACAAATTATGGTTATTATTGACAAGGGCTATCCAGTTGTAACTATCTGTTAATGACAAAAAACATCATTACCGCTGTGCCTTTTCATCAAAAAATTATAGAAGAGAACTTTTTTGATATAAAAAATATTCGTAATTTGAAGCAAAGATCGTAATTTTTCGTTTTGAATGCTTAAGTATTCCAATATGCTACCAATTAAACACGAAACAATTTCAAAATAATGCTTAATAACAAAGTTGAAATTCGAGCTTCAGCTGTTAAAATCTTCTAGAAATATTCGAAAAAAAATTGTCAATATTTTTATCGTACTCCCTAAGGGAGCCTCTATCACACCTTAAAAGGAATGACGGCAATTTTAAATCACGCTGTATATATATTGTCTATACCCGTATGTGTAGTGCCCGAAACAGGCAGGAAAGTCTAATCCGACGCTTCAGCCCGGTTTCAGGTACAAACCAATATTTATCATGGGCCAAAATAACAGGTGACAAAAAATCACAGATACTCGGAACAGGTACGAGCTTGGAACAGTTACACATGGAACCTGTGCTTAAAAATACTGGTTTGTGTCATCCCTAGAATAGGGCCACTGAAAATGCCTAGGCTTTGAGTATCTTTATATACTCTTTCATGTAAAATGTTCGATACCTACCTGTAATAGAAATCCCGACGAAGAACGGAAGTAGCGAATATCATTAAGCCTATTTCAGGCCGCAAATCGTGTTGATGTTCCGGTTTCTCAGGGAGATTTTCCAGGATTATGAGAAAACCGCAAAACAAATTACCTTCAGCTCTAATTCCAATAGCGTCTTCCAAATAAGGCATGTTTGGGCCAATGTCACCACACATCAAGTTCTTCAGTTTCTGGCCGAATTTCCCATTGTTACCCTGTGTAATAAATATAAACGAAAGGAAAGTTTGGGAGAAGTGTTTTTCAAGGCGAAATAATACCTTTCAGGCCATCGTTCTATATAGACATTTATTAAAAATAAGTGGTGCAGTCACCCCAAAAGTACACGATTATTTAATATAAATACAAAAAATGACTGACTAACTGAAGAATTAAAAACAAATGCAGACAGTACACAAATACTTGGCACAAATCTTACAATTCAAAACCTTACTAACATATATTAGATACCTGAGATAAGTAATGGTAGAGTCTCCTCTGTGCTCTGTAGATCTATATAACTAAAGCCTTGTTGGACGACTTAGGGTAAATCAAGATCGTCGGAATGGACAACAGACATGTCTGCATCCTCTTGTACGTCTTCATCATCGCATTCCAGTTCGAACAGTTGTATATTCCTTTGATCTTCAGACAACAGTACGCAAAGCCTTCGTGTGCCCGACACTGCAAATCTGGACGCTGGCAAATCGCTCATCTTGCAGTGTCTTGGGACGAAATCCCATGCATTGACGCTTTCAGAGTAGTACTGCTGGAATTCGGTATCTAATTCAAATGGACGGAAATGCTCTATGGCGAGTGGAATCGACAACTGGAAAATGCAGGATCTTCGAGGCTCATCACATTCATTAAGCAACAGAGATAAAATATCCTTGGAATAAAATTGAAGATCAAGAATTTTTAGAGATTCCGCAAGCGATTGCTGATTGAAACGAAAAGAACCCAATCTTCCTTCGAATGCGGTTGTCTCATTGAAATGGACTTGTAGTAATTGTACGCGCTTGGACGATTGTATAAACGCGAAATACATCACATCTTTAGTAATACTAATTGACGACATAGGAATATCGGGTGATCCAAAGTTGAAACAGTTATATAGATACACCGTAGCCATCGCATCGTTTATAGCACGCATTGGTGCCTTGAAAACCTTGAAAACGCTATCTTTTAACATGGCGAGCAACTGTACTATCGATTTTTCCGGATAGTGTGGCATAGTAGTCGGATGATTTCTTAAACACTCATTTTCTTCTAAAAGTTTAGCCCAATCATTTCCTTCCGATTCGTGTTTTATTGTCAGATCTCGGTCTATCAAATATTGCCCTATTCTTTCCATCATAAATTTATTCTTGACAGTTGGATTTTCCTCATATCCGTAACAATCAAAGTTTTTAATAAAGGTTGAGATATTCATAACGCTTCTTTGGGTAGTTTTCTCAAAATTAGGAGGAATCGGTTCGCCCATCAGAACCAAAACGCAAGAATACAACCACTTGAAGAAGGCTCGAAAGTTGGCTACGGAACCGTCGAGCGTTTCCTGCATCTCGCTGGCTTTGATAACAAAAGCTCCATTCATCTGGATTGCCTTCTGAATTACATCTTCATCTAAGCCAAACGCCTGAAACAAATATTTTTATTAGACTTGAATGCATCAGTTAGATTTCAATGTATTTTTGCAATTTACTAATTATCCAAGCAGCGGGTGTAATTTTTAAACATTTTCAGGTCCCAACGCGCCAAAACGAGATTTTAGTTTGGCAAAATTAAGAGGTGGTTTCCATTGCATTCCTTTTTTATAAAGGTTGAATGATGAAAACCTCGCTGATCAAGCTTTAAAGGGGCTGATTTCGCTGATCACTTTGTAACGTTTTCAAGATAGACAGTGTTAAAATATATTTTAATTATGGTTTTTGAAAATTATTTTGTAGAAGTTTGCTTGCATTCTGTGTGGTAATAAGAAGCTGATTTGGCCCTAATTAAATTGAAAGTCCTATGGCGTCAGTGGATACTTAAAATGTAATAACATCAAAATGTACTCTACTGAGTTTAATTAGATTTTGATGTTCAGTCCTAAGATAATGCAGCAAAAATTACAAATTTTTTGCCTCTTGATTTGTAATATAATCTTGCTCCATTTATGAGCATGTTTTGCATGCCTATTTATGATGATGCAAAAACAAATATTCTCCAAGAAGTTTTCACTATTTCTCTACAAAACTGTTCAAAGGAACGTACTCTCGAATTTAAGAATTCAATCTTTTTCCAAAATTGTTAACACCCTGTAGTCTGAAAACCATACAATTCGGGACCTAAGTTTTTCAAACTTTTTTTCATTGAATGAATCCAAGTTTTGTCCTGATAATGCAATTAAGTTGATTAATGAACTTTGACCCAAGTGAACCTCATATGCATGGAGCGTGATAAACTAATTATATTCAGATTTTCAGATGCTCTGTCTAAAAGGGCAACAGAGTTGAAGAAGAAGATTATAGTCTAAACTAGGGTTTATACGAAACTCGACATTTTAGAAAACCGGTTTTCGAATAGTAATTTTTCCAGAAAACCGGTTTTAACCGGTTTCGAATTTTTATTAAAAAAAATTTTGCTTAAATACATTATTAACTAATTATTCTGTAATTTGAACAAAAAATTTTAACAGAAAATTTAGAGTGATTAAAAGCAGGTTTTGACTGAAATTATTTACTGTTCAATTTTATTGATAGTAAAACTTTTTATGCAATTTAGTATAAATTCGTAATTCGTAAATAGTAATTCGCAAATTTAAACAAAATATAGTTTTTAATGAATGGTATACGAAAAGTGGGTCTCATTAACAAGTTATTATTGATTTATTTAATGGTTTGACAGTACCTACCTACGTGACAATAGTTTATATCAATATACATTTTCTTTTCGTGTTTAGTGTTAGGAATTAATCGAACATTTCAAACCTTTTTTCAGGACGACTGTCAATATTTCACAATAAGTAAACGGTGTGTTTATTCTACACTGATGATTTTGAAGCGATATGATACTTAAACTGGAGCTGTAAACATCTTCACTTAGATATTAAAATTATCTCTAATCGAAAATGCTTTAAAATTAAAAAAACTAAGGCCAATTTCAGTTACTTTCGATGTTTTTAAATAACACTCAAACAACCACCTTAATTATACACAATTGTAAAAATGCAATTACGCTTATCATTGCTTTAAGTTTTGCTACTTTTATACCTACAAGTATACTTGTAGTTGAAATTACGGAAAACACTTTGTAAATGCTCTTTGTAATTACATAAATTACACTTTGTAATGCTGCTACATATACAGGCCGCTGTTTTAGATGCTATTTTCAAACAATACAAAGGGCCAATAAATAAAATAAAAGCTTTAAGGGTATTGTGAAAGTAACAAAAAATAAATAACAAAAAGTTTGAATATAATATTTGGCGAACTAAACTTGTGCTTAATTAAATTCGCTTTTGAGATAATTATGTCGTAAAGGTAGTTAAAATCTTGTAATACCAACCAAACCTTCGAAGCAATAACACTAAGAAAATAAAACTGCTTTCAAGATAATAGAAATTGGAAATCGCTGCGTCGACTGGAAACTACAGAGAACATTTTGAATAATCCTGCATATTATTGCAAATTGATAACAACACGAAAAATAATCAAAATTCCTGTTTTCTTGAAAATGCCTATGCTCATCCGCAACCTTCCGTTTTTTTTGCTTTTTTGACATGCTGTTATGGATTAAAAAACTACATTTGTACAATAATAACATCTGAAAGTTTTAAAAAATTTTCAGATAGTTATGCATGTTTGAACAAGTCACCGACAAGTGAACTCGTCAAAAATTGTTTAGGTTTAGTATGTACTTCCATTTTATTATAATAAATTTTATAACAATATTTTGATGGGAGAAAGTCGATATCATAAATTCAATTTTTTTAAGTTTTTATTTGAATTAATTGAAAAGTGCCATTTTTCGATCAGAAGCGATGATCATAAAGAAGCACTTTAGTCCAGGCGAGTGACAGATTGGCATGTTCTAACTTGACGTAAGGGTGCATTTTGCAAAAAAAAATGTTTGCAAAATGCATACTCATTAATTTCTTCGCTATGAAATGCTCGATAAGATACAGTTGGTTCTCTGAAATGATGAAAAGTGCAAAAAAAATAGGTAAAAAACAAGGAAATTTTAAATTATTTATTTGACAATGAAAAAATAACCCAATCACGCCATACATTTAGAGAAAAGTACTTGACTGCAATACAATACGAGAGCCGCAAGGCCGATTAAGATCGGACGGACGTTAACCTACCTGGAAAAAACCTTCTTTTTTTTAAATTTTGTGCCAGGCTCAAAGTTATGAATATTGTTTTGGGCCCGCGCTTTCACCCCTTCTTGGACCCTTAAACTATATTATACAATTGCTATATTAACCATTTTTCAATTTTTAATTACTTTTTCAACGGTTTTAAAAAGCTTGAAAATTTTGGCTTATAAACAAATTAGCCTGTGAAGCAGGACTTGCAAGTGGGAACAAATAGGAAAGTACGGAAATATAGTACTCGGGAAGACGCATCTTTATGAAAAAAATAATTAAATTTGGTTGAGTACATGTTGAGATATTAACTTCCAAAGTTGGGCAGCGTATACCGCGTAACGGTTAACGACGTAACAGTAAAATATATACCAGTCGATAGGTTTTTGCAAGTTCTTTTCGCATCTGCTTTCAAAAATTACATTGCACGTGTGCATCACGCACAACAATTTGTTTAAACATTGAATTAATTATTACTCGGACTATTAATTAACTCGGATCCCAAATTCGGAGGGGCGGGGATAAGCTGGGAGACTTGAAATCGGCGTGCTCGCTTCAGGATGGTGCATTTCGGCTTCCACTGCACCGATTTTGACGATTTTATTTAAGTTGCTGTATAAAAACGAGAGGATTTAAATTTTTATAGTTTTTTCATTTTTTCGTTGTTTATGCAAATAGCACAACTTTTCAACCTGGCGCACCTCGATATTTTCAATAAGTATACCATTCCCGAGCGATTCCAATAGTTATCTAAGTTACGTCACGTTAGAACCATATTTGAAAGATTTCGTCGTAATTCGCCTGGCCTACTTTACTTTACTGATCATTTGTGAATGTGAAAAATTGAACCTGTCAATGAGATTATATTTTTAACGTATTTTCTTAGATTTGCATAGCAAATACGATGCTTTCATATCGGTTCGATAATAGATATCTAGGGTTCAAAAGACTATTATCCAAATACAGGTTTAAAGATTGGCAGCCAAGAAAAAACTGAAGACGCTCGGATCATTATCGATAAAGTTACCCCTTCAAACAACAACCGTTTTACAACTTCTAAATGTTGACCAATCAAGAAAAAACTTCTGCAAATGTGCTTTAAACATTCAACAGCATCAAATATTCCTCAAACAGTTTACAATCCCAGGCGCTCAAATAGAACAGGAAAACAAACAATAAAACCTTTAAATATTATATTACAATGAATAAAAAACCAGTAAACCTACGCAGCGTAAACTTGAACATAGTCGACAATCAAATGTGAACTGTCGGTATTTCTATTCCATGAGGGTTCCCATTGGCTTCTTGCACCCCAAAAGTCGCTTGAAGCTGTGGGTGATTCGTTAGACCAAGGTTTACCTCCAGCGTTCGTATTTTCATCCGAAAAATAGTTGACACCACCAATAGCCAAGTTTATAATCAGATAAAACTGTTGGTCAAATGGGGCCATTTTTGTTCCAGCTACCCAGGGATTTTCCACTCCGGTGCTTGCGAATTCGCCCATTTCCCAAAATCCGCCCTCTGGGGGATTGATGACGCCCACCTCCTCATTGTCGATGTAAAATATAAATCCATTCGAGTTCCAGACTAGTTTGTAGATATGGAAATCAGTGTCGTAGCCAGCAGGATCATTTTTATCGAAATGAGTTTTGGCCCATTGATTTGCACCAACAGAAGGAGCCCAATGGAGAGTATGGCCGACTTGTTGAGTACCTACGTTCATTCCATTTGGATTGACATAATCCTTGTTTCCGCGGCTTTCCAAAAGATCAATTTCACCAGAAGAAGGCCAAGTTCCATATGCATTGTAACGAGGTAAGAGCCATATGGCAGGCCACAACCAATCGCCAGCTGGCATTTTTGCTCTTACTACAACAGTACCGTACTTAAATGAGAATGATTCGACGGTTCTGATCCTGGCAGTTTTGATTGGATTCAAAGCATTGTCACTGGTTCCAGTGCGACTGCATCCGTAAAAAGCTGGATTTGTGCAGGCATCAGCGGGTGCACCCCCATTGACATCCAGAGTTCCAGAATAAATATAATCGTCACCATAATCATCAGCTAAGAACGTAGGTCTGATGTGCAAATTACCATTTTCAGTGTAACTGTTTGATCTGTTGTTCAGGTAGTACTCAAACTCCCAATTGCCGCCGCCCGACAGTGTAATTTCATGCTGCCACCTTTCGAAGTCAAGGAAGTTAAATTGATCTTCGAAAATTAACTCGCCCGGACACAGCTCGGCAAAATTGCTGGGCTTCAAGGATCCACTTACGACAGTTTCACTTGGAACACTACATTCTGCTCTGAGTGATTGAACTTTGCAAAGCAACACTAATGTTACGGTTGCAACTAATAATTTCATGTTAGCTGCGGCGATTGAACAGTAAATCAATAGCCATAAAGTGTACTTATATATAATCAAAACCCTCAATTCGAAGCGGGCTATCTACTTAAAAAGGTGCTTCAAGAGCCTTTAAATGTGTGACATCAGAGGAAAAGGCACTTGAAGACAACTGATTTCGATCGCTATTGAAATAATTTGCAATAATATCGACGTTGCATGATTTGCCACTTTTTTGCTAATTTAGTATTTGAGTACACGAACACAGGAACAAAGGTTACTTAACAGTTATTATGTGAGTTCACCCAGTTTAATGTGGAAATAAACTCTTCGATTTGCGCTGCGCTCATATAATGCAACCAAAGCGTTAGAAGCATTACCAGCAACAGAACATTTCCACAATATTAAAATTCAGCTGGATCCTGAAAAATTTACGCAGATGTTAACCGAGTTGGTTAGATGAGGAAAACACTTGCTAGCTATCAGAAAAAATAAATTGATTTGATTTGGAACCTATGTAGAGACGATGGCGAAATATACCTTAAGTGAGGAGAATTCGAATTTCAAATGGGGACAAATTTACCAGAATCCCTAAACCTCTGAGAAATAAAATACTTACGCTTTAACATCATACTTAAAATTGCCCAAAAACTGATTAGGTGCACGAAAATAGAAACAGACACTTAACCGATATGTGTACCTAACCAATTATTGCTTGGTTGATAAGATACTTTCAAAGTTTCAATCATTCCCAATCTCTGAGAAGTTCCAATTGTGTTGTCTAACCGTTTTTTAATTATGAGTGTTGTTCATTTTTAGTTATTATATTAGCCGCACTTGTCGTAGTTTTTTGCATCTTTCAACCAGCAACAGATCTAAAAATTGTCAATTTAAGCTCACGCATTTTGGCTGCTGATTGGCTCAGGAAAAAGTAGAAATAATGGTTTTACTAGATATTAGGAAAACAAATTAACCAATAAAGTTGAAGAAAACTGTGCTTGGAAGATATTCTTGCGCATAACGACATAAGCTAGTACTAACTCCAGCAACAACTTCACTTTCAAGATTAAAAATAACCGTTCTTTTCAAATGGAAATCATTGTTGGTTCCGGGTTCAATACAATTCCGACATTTTTCAATGATGATGTGCTTATCTGAGCACATTGAGTATGCTTCTCTTTATGAGTTATAAAAATACGTTATTTTAAACTTGACTCATACAGACAAAAAACTAGTTAAATTGAGAAGGGTACGTTCATTCTGATAATCAAAATTAACGGAACTTTAAATTCTACTCAAAAAATACTCTCTGCTTAGATTAAATACGTATTTAATTATTGCTAAATTAGCCACTGAGGATAAACGTATTTTTTAAAGCTCCAAGCTCTTCAGTGAGACAAACCAATACAATAAAAAATTTGGTTGTTCAAAAAAATGCTTTTTTTTAATTTAATTCTGACATATGTATTTCATATAGTAAGCGGATCTATTTGTTTTAAATTAATGGATAATGTTGAACTTAATATTTTATATCAACGTAATTTCAAAGTATTATTGTCATTTACACTCAAGTTTCATACTTGCATGTTTGCATAAAATATTTTAGAAACTTTTGGTATACAAAATTACCTTAATAATTAATTTTTAACATTTCATTAATGTTTCACTAAGTTTGAACATATTTCATTTGACAATATTTTTCCTCTGATTGTTTTTAATGAAATTTATTATTAAATCCCCAAAGTGCTAGCAAAATGGTCTTTACGACTGATTCGATATTTCCATGCTTTCTCTACACCTTCAATATTCTATTCTAGCTTCCAATCTAATGAAGAAAAATGATTCTTAGAACGCTCCTTACCGATTTGTCAGTTATTTTCCATCGTTTTCGAGATCTAATTTAGCGAAATGGTCCTTATTCCTGGACTGGTATTGTTAATTGCTTTTACGTTTCAACCTAATTATCGCAACATGTAAAATTCAGCTTTTTTGAGATGGAAAATGCTGATAAAGCTTAATTGGATAAGAATGGCTGCTGAAAACACGTGCCAAGCCAACAAAGTCTAAACGGACTTCGCTGCTCTACAATAATTTAATGTTATAATTTTTTTAAACCCGTTTTGTTTGCATACTAATTAGCATGTTTGCATACTATTTACACTCATAGAGAGAAATGTAAAGAAACAAAACGAACTCACAACTCGTGTCCAAAATGAGTGATGAGGAATATAACTTATTGTTTAATTAAATTACGAGGTATGTTTTTATAAGGAATTGCCTCAGCTATACACGTTTAATCATGCGCTAAGATTATAACGTTTTTGAAAACATCGCACCAGGCAAGCTATATGGTATAGCGCTAATTATGTAGTAGCTAATATTTTTACACTAAATCCACTTTTCTATTGTTTTTATTGTAAAATCTCCTGGTATTTTAAAAACAAAATATGTTACGCACAAAATATGTACAGAGTGTCCCGCAAGCACATGATCAAATGGATACTACGACATTATTTGGCTCAAAAAATGACGATCTGATGAAACTTTTATTTAGAAAATATGCCTGGCTCCACTGCTTTTGGTCAAAGTTCTTCAAAAATTATAGGTTTTTTGATAAATCGAGAGAATGAATCGATGGATTTTAATGAAACTAGCTGTAAATTTGTTCCCATGCAGGACTCACCTTTTGATACAGCAACCGAGTGCATCCGCTTTGGGCAAGTGAGGAATTCCTGAATGTCTTGGTACAAAAACTATCAGAACTTTTCATTCGGTAGCTGGCATCAACTGGTTTTTTTTTTAGTTCATGCACTAATTCTCTTTGAAATTTTTATCCTATTTGTAAAATCTTGCAGCATTAATAATTTTTGCGCTAAAAAATAGTTCTGATCTCTTGCAACTGACAATCATTAACTTTTTACATTAAGAAAAAATAAATTAAGTATTTTGTAATATCGTAAAATGCTCAGATGGATTTTAATAAAACTTGGTGTGGATTTGTACCTACCACGGTCATATTTTGCTAAAAACTCACTCACTATTTGTGAGATTTCTGATGAACGCAGTTCGGAAGAAAACGCTTCCAAAAGACGACCTATGTCGGTCTGCTAAAAATTATTAAACGGTTTCAAATAAATTTATTATAAAAGAACATTGTCGCTTACTGCGACACTTGGAGTTAATGTCTGAAATTGTCAAATAGCAAGGAAACAGATATTTTTTTTGAAAAACTTTGGTGACTGCAAGATTTTATGTAGAGCTAGAAAATGTTTAAAATAGATTAGTGCACTCCGTTTGATTAGTTGATTCCAGCCACCAAATAAAAAGTTCTGGTAGTTTTAGTACCAAGACACTCAATAATTCACCACTTGCTCAAAGCCGATGAACTCAGTTGCTTCATCAAAACACCAGTTTTCATAGGAAAAAAGTTACAGGGAGTATCGTACCATTATCCCGATATTTCAAAAAACATAATTTTTTTTGAAGAACTTTGACCATCAATAGCACTGGAGCCAAACATGTTTTCTTAATAAAACTCAAGTCAAATCGTCTTCTTTGCATCCAAAGAACGGCTCAGTGCTCTTTTGACAATGTGCTTACGGGACACCCTGTATAGAATTTACTAACCGCCCACCAAAATTAAAGTTACACTGAACTGGATCTGATTGCTTAGAGCGATTTGGTAGCTGTTTGGAGCATAATTGAACCCCATTTATTTTTTGTTAGCACATCAAATAAATTTTCTACAGTGTGGCAAATTGATGGCAAAAAAAATGCAAAATTTCGGAAAGTTTGGCATGTTGTCCTGTTGGACAGAAATGAAGTTTTTTAGAATCCTAACACCCCAAAAGTTTACAGATAAACAAACTAGCTCAATATTTTCGGCCATGTATTTTGCTTACAGGGTGATCTCAAAAAATCAACTTTTTAGTCTTGCAGCGACAACTTTTCTGCTCTTGGTCCGATTTTTACGATATACCGCTCATGTTGAAGCTAAAACTTCATAGACAATTTAAGAGAAAAATACAGGGGTTTTATAAAAAGTTTTCACCAAAGTCAAAATTGCCCGCAAAATCTGTGATTCTGGCAGATTTTCAGCTAACTGAAGTTTACTTTCAAATATTTGTTTCATTCATGCAACCCGGTATATTGAATTGTTATTTTCTAAGTCCACTTTGAAGTTATCGCTTCAACATGAACCCTAGATTTTGAAAATGGGTCCAAGACATAAACTGTATCACTGCAAGACCAACAAGTTTATTTTTCTTAGACCACTCTGTTAATATAAAGAGCGGATGGAAAAATTCAAAAACTTTTCCAAAATTCGACGTTTATCTTAATGTTTTCGGTGTTGAAATACAATAAAACTGGGTTTTATCCAACTTAGAGCATGAGAAACTTTCTCCAATTTTGCATTGTTTCATTTGCCACCCTGTGAAAATTCTATCTATTTTTTGTAAAAAGTGAACAAGATATGCACTAAATAATGCTTCAGACATCAAATCGCTCTCAGCAATGAGAATTTATTCAGTACCAAAATTAAGCATTCTGAAGCTTAGTTTAAAAACTTTGCCCCTGATTTAAATTCCACAGCATTTGAAAACTTAGATCTCTGTACTGTACTAGTAGAATTTGCAACCGAAAAACCAATTATTACATTTACAGATTATACTTAGGACCAAAAAAGTCCACTGTAACAAACAATACATCAAGATGATTGTGCCAAATCCTGTTAACTATGCACAAATACACCGCAAAACTCTTATTATTATTACATTATTTAGTATTAAATATAGTTAAATTGTTATTGAATGTAACTTCCTACTCAAACTTTGGACGTATTCCAAAAGTAATGTCTTGTATTCTGCTAGTTTTGGAATAACTTGTCTGTTTTTATAATAATGTTGGCTTTTCGTTTTCTTTATCATCAATTTCAGTTTGCTTAAATGTTTTTAAATAAAAAATGGCATATTTGCGATAGTCTCTCACTGTACCTTATGTATGGGAAATAATGAGTCGAATATACGAGATTTTTTTTTAATTTTGTTTTAATGTTTCCATGTTTGCATTATTTATTTTTTCGCATTCTGTATGTTATTAACAATTAACTACACAAACACATGCTAGTGTGAAACTCAAAAAAATGCATTATTTGTAGATTAATACGCTTATTAAAAAGTGTCTCATTGTTATTAAATTTTGTATATCTACTTCGTTTGCATTATTTATTTTTTCAATTATGTATGTTATTAAAAATTATCTATACAAACATATACCAGTGTGAAACCCAAAAAAATGCATCATTTATAGAATAATACGCTTATAAAAAGTGTATCATTGTTATTAAAGTTTCCCGCCTAGCAATCAGACGAAAACATATCCCAAATTTCGAAACAAAGATAATGTTCACTCTTTGCTTTGACAAACTGGAACTTCATCATAAATGAACTCAAAATGTGCACTCAAACATTCAGACAATAGATTATTATCATTCTGATCAAGTACATGATATAAACTAATTTTTGTCAAATAATCTATATTAATATAAAAGCGCAATATCAAGGTTTAATTATTGATTAACAATTTTTACTTCCTCTAAAATTATTTACATTCTGAATCGTCCTATCAATGGTAAAAAATAGGTAGCCTCTTCGACTATTGTTGCGAGCAGTACTTTATTTAATTTATATGCATTAGCATGATTATTTTTTCTTCATATAGATTTATCTGCATATCAAATTCAAGTCCTTTGGTGTAAAATCTCCAATATTTCCAGTTAAAAATGGTCTCTTTGTTGCTATAATCGACTTATGTAAATGACAAAATCAAAAACTCAAATCATCAAAACCATCTATATTTCCATTAAGCCGCAAACACTTGAATATAATCAACAATTAAATGGGACTCGTCAGTATCCCGATTCCATGTGGGTTCCCATTGAGTTTTTCCCTTCCAAAAATCAGTCATTGGAGTGGGTGAATCGTTGCTCCATGGTTTGCCTCCGGCATTATTGGTGCCATCAGGGAAATAACCGTTGGTTGCTCCAATAGCCAAATTAATTATCAAGTGGAACTGTTCGTCAAAGGGAGCCATCTTTGATCCAGATGACCAGGGATTCGTTTCGCCACTATTTTGGAATTCTCCCAACTCCCAAAAGCCTCCAGCTGGAGGATTCAGGGTACCCAACAACTCATCATCAATGTAGAAGAGGAAACCTTCCGGGTTCCAAACAACTTTGTAGGTATGGAAGTCGTTGTTGTATCCAGCGCCGTTGCTTCTTTCCCAGTGTGTTCTGGCGTATTGGTTCTCAGAAGGTGAGGGTCCCCAATGAAGAGTACTAAAAGCCAGTTGAGTGCCAAAATTGAATCCTGAACCATCTGTTAGTTCTCTGTTTCCACGACTTTCCACCAAATCTATTTCCCCAGATACTGGCCAGCTTCCATACTTCCAATCAGTCGGCAATAGCCAAATGGCGGGCCAAAGCCAATCTCCTCCTGGTAGTTTGGCTCTGGCTATCACTGTTCCATACTTAAAGGAGAATGTTCCCAGGGTCCGAATTCTTGCACTTTCAATGGGGTTTAGAATGTTAGTCGAAGTTCCCGTACGCAAACAGCCATTATTATCTGAATTGGTGCACTCGGCAGTAATATCCAGTGTTCCAGAGTACAAGAAGTCTTCGCTGTAGTCTTCCGACAGATAAGTTGGTTTAATATGCAAATTACCATCTTGTGCAAAACTGTTCGTTCGACTGTTGCGGTAATATTCAAACTCCCCGTTTCCACCGCCAGCCATTGTAACTTCATGCATCCATTTGCTTTCATCAAAAGTATCAAAATTATCCTCGAAAATTAAATCTCCCGGACACAACATTGAGGGTGGATTATACGCGGTTCCACTTGCAGTCGTTACACTCGCTACATCGCAAGCAGCTTTTGCTGATTGAACTAAATATACCACTAGAAGGGCCAAATGGCAAATCGGAGCTTTCATATTCGGTCTTGTATGTGGAAAATCCACCTTAACACTGGACGAGGCTTGAATTGTGTCTACGTTATATAGTAACTTATCTTAAGTGCGCTGATAAAACCAGAGGTTAATAAAAAAATTGCTATACTCTCTCCTTATGCACAGGAATATGCGAAATAAATATATGCAACCAGCCTTAATTAATGACATTAAAAATGTATCAGGTAGATATAGGGTAAATTGCGCAAAGAAGGTCAAACTCTTTTGCTTTCATAGAAATTCCCCACGGTTTTCCAATGTGTCTGGGTAGCATTGAACGATCAAAATTTCCGAACCGATTCCCCACACATGCGATTTCAATGAACCGCGTTAATTACCAAGCCATGGTAAGGTGTAAAACAGGTACTTCACACTGTTTGAGCTATTGGGGTCTCAAGAAATGACGTCATGCTACAAACAATCAAGTCTCAAAAGCAGCCAGATCTAATAAAGTAAATGCTTACATAACCGGGAATATTTACGCCGTATTTTTATGGCACATGTTGTACATTAAAAAATGATAATAATAATGATAATTATGCACGCTGAATTGCCGCCGACAATTTAATCAAATAGTTTTTCGAATTAACTATTTCCGCTAATGAGTTCTATTTTACCATGCTGTTAGATGAAAAATTCCCGGACCTGATATCGGAGGAGAATTTGGTTAAACCCAAAGAACATCTGGTAATGAAACAATTTGTTAGGGACATTTCGCATATATGAGATATATCATTAATATATTTTTAGTCCGCTATAGCATGGTATTCAAGGGATGTAAATTGATATTTTTTAAATGCACTATTTGCAAAAGTTTATTCTGCTCTATATTTATGTGCACCAACTTTGCTTTTTGCAGCCGTTACTGTATATTGCATAATTCACACTTTGAATTCGTTACTGTGCTATTATATTATGTCTTAGTTCTAGGTTAGTTATGGATACATTCAGATTTTACTTGATGGTAACAGTCCCCTATTAAAAATCTAAAGGTGTTGACCTCTATTTTTTCGCAAATTAGTGATAAAATATTCTAATATCTGTCTGATTTTGTTTTCCCATTAATTCATAAATACGCTGAGGTATTAGAAATAATTCGGCATAAATTTTAATTACAACTAGTTTTAAGTAAAGTGTATACTTTCACTTTTCCCGAATTTTCAACGGCTTATGAACTATCGGGAGGAGCATCTGGCTGCAAAAATATAATACGCTCTTAAAAAAGTGATAGAAACCAATAAGTATTTTTTTTTAATGATGATAAACTTCTGCTCTCTTTATTCAGTTCAGTTCACATCAGCTGCTTCCTAAGTGAAATTTAAAAATATATACAGTGTGGTTTAGTTTGTCTGGTGAAATATTGAGTAGTCTTGTTTAATTTCGCAATTTTTACCGTCGCAAGGTAAAATTTGGACGAAATTAGCATGTGCAAATATTTTATATCTTAATCAATGGCACTGATAAAGAAGCCCATCGCCATAAAATCAATAGAAGAATTTATTTTAAAATAAATATTTAATGTAAAAAATACTACTACTATGTACTAAATAAATGAAAAAAAGTCAATAAAACAACTGTTCTTCTTGTTTTAAGATAATATTATTCATGTATGTAACAGCAATTTAAAAAGCGAATTATGAATAATGCTATAAAATGAAACAGCTTTTAAAGCAAATAAAGGAGAAACGGTTTAGAATATTTTACAATGATCAAAATAACTTGATACATTTTTATTTTGCTTAAATCTTTGCATCAGTTTTTTGCTTCTTGATAAACTATAAAAATAGATCATTTTGGGAAGGAAACTAGATAATATTTCTTAATAAAATCGGTTGGTTAACGGTGCAACTGCTGGGAAGAAAACTAAAAAATAACTCTTAATAGAATAGTTTGGCTGATGGCTCATTTGCAAATAAATCAGATCGGCAAAAGTGGACAAACAGGAATGACGGAGATAAAAGTTACGTTTTAAACTGAAAATTAAACTTAACGATGTTTAAATTGATTCAAATTTACTTAAAATTCTTGCGCTCAAGTGCTAACCGATAAACAAAATAATTAAATTTATAAATCGATATCAAAGAAAGATAATAACTTGGAAATTTTTTATTTTTCTCAAATCTTCGCATCAGTTTTTGTTTTTCTGATACATTACAAAAATAGATCATTTTGGGAAGGAAACTAGAAAATATTTCTTAATAAAATGGTTTGGTTGATGGCACATTTACAAATAAATCAAATTTGCATGAGATATGTTTGTTTTGTGAGCCAGGAATTTTTATTTTTTATTTTTTTATAGGTGTCTAATTTATACGAGTGTTAGGAATAGAAATTAATTTTAGAATAAGCTAGGCTAAGACATATGTACTAAACAAGGGCAGAAAGACCGATTGGGTCGATAGCCTTTTTCCGTAGGAAATAAAGATTATTTATATATATATATATCAAATTTGCAAAATTACTAAAATACAAATTATATGTACCTTTAATTTTTACTTTAGATTTATTGGCGTAAAACGCAAAAAAATGCTTATTAAATTAATGTAAATCTAATGTTACCCTACAAAAGCATGTTAACTCCTCTCGCGTTCAGTGTTTCGATTTCAGGTCCCGCTTGTCTCAATTTTTATATTTTTAACTCACTTTTAACAGCGATATACCTATTCACAGATTAAAAATTGTTGAACTTGAAAAAAAAACTACATTTATCATGTTTCAGCTTTTATCAACTGTTTGCCAAAGTAGCAACTCTAAACTATCATTTTGTGTTCGAATAAACCAATTGACCATTTAACTTTGCCCTTCCTTGTACTCAAGTGTAAAAAGTGGCAAAAAAGCAGAGATAAACTGAATGTTTGCCGATGTTTTACTTTAAAAAATCAAATGAGGACATTAAAGCAGATGCTTTTCCAGATTACAGGCACTTATTGTAAGTAAGATAATCCTATATTTTGATGTCCTTAATAGTTTTAGCGAAGATAACGGAGTAACGCTCAAACTCTCAAAACGGCAAAACTCACTCCACCAAGAAGGAATTGAATCAATTTCAAAGTATTGGGACAATTATATCTGAATAAAATACAGAAAAAAAAATTAAAAAGCAATTAAGTTATTGCGAATTATTCTGTTAACCAAAGGTAAACCTTAGTGTGGCCATTCTTGGATAATTTATATTGTTAAAACCTATTTTTTATTTGATCCTGGTCCTTGAATAGTGGCAAAACAAGAAGCTGGCAAATAATTTCCAGAATTCTTTAGTGGCCAATTTGATTATACAATTTCCTTCATAAAGGAAAATAAAGATAATAAACTAAGCATCAGAGCAATATCCTCCAGAAAAATATCTAAACAAACCTCCACATTGCCTGGTTAACCGCAGAGATAATTCCCTAAGTCCCTAATCTATAAGAATAATCGCTAATATTCAAGAAACTTAAGACTAAAGCAGAAACACTTAGATGTAAAAAAGGAACAGGAAAATTTACGAAATATGCAATGACAAAATACAGTGAGACGATGAAGCTGGACTTTGCCAAGACTCTCAAGTGATTATGTTTTTATTCAAGATCTCCGTAATAGCAATGACTATCTGGGAATGATTGTCCTCATTTTTATTCAAACTTTTATTCAGCCTTAAGTATTTTGTTTTGATATATGTATACATAAGTACTAATCTTTCCTCAATTATGCTCTCGTTAAATTCTGCTTGAGTTATCATCCGATAGACAGGTGAATGTTTTTACGATTCTATTGTACAAATTTCAATGAATGAATGACTATAGATACTAGTTACATGGTATTCAGTTGATTAGTCCCGCGATCTATTCATCGCTCCGTTTACTTAAATGGTTTAATTGAAGATGGCACATGGGAATTAAATAGCAAATACTTGAATGTAATCAATAATGAAGTGAGAGTCGTCCGTATTGCGATTCCATGTGGGTTCCCATTGGGATTTGCCTTGCCAAAAGTCAGTCATTGCAGTGGGAGAACCGATTCTCCAAGGTTTGCCTCCAGGATTGTTGGCTTCATCTGGGAAATATCCAGTTGTCGCCCCAATGGCCAAATTGATCAGCAAGTGAAATTCCACATCAAAAGGTGCCATCTTCGTTCCGGATGACCATGGATTATATTCATCACTATCCTGAAGTCCTGCCAACTCCCAGAATCCGCCGTCTGGAGGATTTACGCTTCCAATTAGTTCATCGTCATAGTAAAACCAGAATCCTTCAGGACTCCAAACCACTTTGTACAAGTGAAAGTCGTTGTTGTAACCGTCGGGGTTGCTTTTCACCCAATGCGTTTTGGTATATTGGTTTTGCTCCAATGATGGTCCCCATTCGAGCGTGCTGAAGGCTAGTTGAGTGCCAATATTAAGTCCAGTTGAATCAGTCAGATTTCTATTGCCACGACTTTCTACTAGATCTACTTCTCCAGCCACGGGCCAACCTCCGTATCGATAATCACTGGGTAAAAGCCAAATGGCTGGCCAAAGCCAATCTCCTGCGGGAACTTTAGCTCTGGCTACGACTGTACCATATTTGAACGCAAAAGTTTCATACGTACGAATTCTTGCACTTTCAATGGGGTTTAGAATGTTAGTTGATGTTCCCGTACGCAAACAGCCATTATGATTTGAATTGGTGCACTCGTCAGTAATGTCCAAAGTTCCAGAGTACAAAAAGTCTTCACCGTACTCATCAGCTAAGAAAGTGGGTTTAATATGTAAATTGCCACCTTGGGTAAAACTGTTCGTTCGACTGTTTCGGTAATACTCAAACTCTCCATTTCCACCTCCTGCCATTGTAACTTCATGCTTCCACGTGTCGAGATCCAAAGTATCAAAATGATCCTCAAAAATTAAATCGCCCGGACACAACATTGAGGGTGGATTATACGCTGGTCCACTTGCAGTCGTTACACTGGCTACATCGCATGCAGCCGTGGTAGATTGGACTAAACCTACCACAATTAGGGCCAAATAGCAAACTAAAATCTTCATTCTAAGCCTTCTAAGTTAAGAATATACTGTTTTTGATTTGATTTTGTTTCGTTTTATATACTTATCTAAAGTACCCAGGTTCAAACCGGGTGAATTATGCGCAAAGAAGGGCAATTGTTTGGGAATTAGTAGAAATTCCTCAAGCTCATAATAGAGATAACAGTCAATGACAAAAATTTCCAAAGTGATTATTGAAATATTTTGCTGTATAAAACACGAATAAGTATTTCAAGTAACGGTAAACAATGGCGCATTTGCAACATGTACTTGACAATCTATAAACCCAACACATAACAAAAATAAGTTTTCAAAATTGATAAAAATCCATGTCAAATGGTCATTGATATTACTGAAAAATAAAAAGTTTATCTGATGTTCTGTTCTGTTCTCATTGATTTGGATTATTATACGTAGTACACCGAACGGGCTGAAATAAACTGAAAACACTTAAACCAATGCTTAGAGGCGTTCAAAATTTTCAATACTATATGGAATATTTTCTAGCCAAAATTGAAATATTTTCAGCGGTCTGACTAGATTTCTACGATTCCATATGTTGACGATCTCATTAAGGAACTGAAATTGATTGAGTAAAGGTCTTCGATTAACTATAACTGAAAAAATCGACGAAACAGATTTTCAAAAAATGGTTAAAATATTAAAGTGAATTTAATGCTCAAATGTAAAAAAGTAGAAGCTCAGAGAACATTGCAATGTTTTAAAAAAAAAAAAAAAGAAACATAATATCAACATTTCCATTTAGCTGTTCGAAAACCTTTGCAAGATATATTTTATATACAAATTTCAGCTGTAAATAAGGATTTTGGCTAATTAATAAACCCCGGTTTCTAAAAGCTGACCCAACTTGTACACAACATTTACATTAGACATTTCAAAAAATCTATTCGAATAGAATATTTGGAAAATTAAGTGTTTCAGGATTAGACCAACTGGTATTAATCACTGTTATGCAAATATGAATAACTAATCAGAATTAAAGGTATTTAAAAAATTACTTCTATTTTTTGTATATTTCCATGATATTTAATTGTATCTTGAAAATACTTCTAAAGATGCTGGATGTTGTTTTCAGGAAATGTTGATAAAATCAGCTTCAATTTAGAAGAACCAAAGGAAATGAGATTGCCCAGTGAGAAGCTTAAAGACAAACAATGTCCTCCAAAAACAGAAAATAAACCATTAGTAAGGAAACTATTGAAACTTGATAAAGAATGCTATTATTAAAAATTAAATAAAAAAAAACAGCTAAAAACAAGAATATTGTAACACTGTTGTTTACCTTGTAACAAACCAGGTTAAGTATAGTTAGAAATTTGCGATACGTCTAACTCATAAATTAAATAAGTTTATCTATCAATATTAAACTAAAAATATGTATTCCTTGGGAATACATTCTGAAAAAACGATGTGATAAAAAACATGTAATTCGTTCAAGGCGATATTTTTAAAACCGCCTTGTAGGCTAGAAGAAATGTAATTGTGTCCCAATTGATATCCGTTTTTGACGAATTCTTAAGGTTATATCAATATAATTAAATGTGAGAGCATTTTATCTTAATTTTTATCATACTACTTTGCCTTTTGAAACATCGATTCCAGAAAAGTGTTTGCTGGAAAGCTTGTTTTGATGGTCTTACTTTTGTTTTTGCATAAGTTTTTACAACTTATACCTGCAAACAATTGCGCTTTTATATTATAGAATTTTAAAACGATTTGGAAGTCTAATCGTATTCCATTTGCTTTAATATTACGGCATTTACTATTTGATAAGCCTTGAGCTGTGATTGATTTTTGAAAAGGTCAAATTAATTATTCACAGAAGTATGCAAAGACAATTAATTTGTTGAACTGTAAAAAATGGTGCCATACAATTGTTTATATTGGTTTAGCTTTGTTAACTAGTTAAATTTACAGTCGTAATGCCACAAAGCCATTTATTATTGAAATGAATTTAAGTAATTAATACTTGTAAGTTTAACTTTACTTTCTTTTCATCTATACCAAAGTAAGCATAGGTCATACAAAAGTACAGTTAAGTAAACTAAATAGTTCAAATACTATAAACGGTGTTGCATTAAGAAAAAGGAACGGAAATTCCAAAGTAATAACAGAATAAAAACAGTTTTAAAAACAAAATAGTAGGCAACGTTTTTGAAAATATGTAATTCAAATCCACAAAAATAATAATATGTATTAGAATTAATATACATTTTTCAAATTAATACTTGTAACTTATCAAAGTAAACATAACAATTCAAAAGTAAGTAATGAATAAGTAAAAAAATCAGTGAAAGTGTTTATAAAGGATGCCAAGCCACGAAAATGGGTACGGAAAAGAGTTGAAAAATGGAAAATGAAAAAAACAGTTAATGTGTCTAAAATCTAATTTAAAAAAATGCCTTAATTAAATCTATACCTAAATGAACGCAACTAGAAATATGTTGCAAAGTTGAAACGATCATTGCGGTTCATTTTGCGTCCTTCTATTTAAACTGAATATTTCAGAAATACCCACTAATCGTTGGCTAAAGCTCTCTAATTTTAAACCACGGTATTGTCTGTCGGAATTTTTTTGCAACGAAAATTTAAATAAAATATCGCGTTACTGGTTCAACACATTAAACCTATAATATGTTTGAAATAGTGTGGCTCGTGGTGTGCTGTCTAATTCACTTATCGAACGGTGATTGTGTTCCGAGCGAGACAATTGCCAGCGGTCATTTGGCCAAAGACGCCAACAGTATTTGTGCTGGAGATGTAGTTTTTGAAGAGAACTTCGATCAGTTTGATTTGGAGAAATGGGAACACGAAATCACTTTGTCTGGTGGAGGGAACTGGGAGTTTCAATACTACACCAACAACAGATCGAACAGCTATGTGGAGAATGGAAATCTTCACATCCGGCCGACTTTTGTCAGTGATGATTATGGGGAAAACTTCTTAAATTCAGGAACTTTGGATCTGAACGGAGCAATGCCAGTAGATCAGTGCACTGATTCATCTTACTATGGTTGCGTAAGGGCTGGAACCGGCATCAATTACCTAAACCCCATCAAAAGCGCCAAAATCAAAACATGCAGTTCCTTCTCGTTCCGATATGGCAAGATCGTTACTCGGGCTAAAATGCCAAGTGGAGACTGGCTGTGGCCAGCAATCTGGATGCTGCCCCGATTCAATTCATATGGAAGATGGCCAGCATCTGGTGAAATCGATATAGTCGAATCACGCGGCAACAAAAACCTTTTCAATCCACAAAGCGTTAATATAGGAACCCAAGAAGCTGCAAGTACTCTGCATTGGGGACCATTCAACCAAGTCAACCAATGGGCCAAAACCCATTACAGCAAAAGCAACTCCGCAGGATACGACACAGACTTTCACGAGTACGAAGTGCAATGGTCTTCAACAAATTTCACCTTTTACATCGATGGAGAATTAATAGGAACAACCAATCCGCCTGCAGAAGGTTTCTGGGAACTAGGAGGATTTGAGGATTCCACTTTCGACAACCCATGGAAAGGCACCACTCAAATGGCACCGTTCGATCAAAAGTTCTACTTGATCATCAATTTAGCAGTTGGAGGCACTAATTCGTTTTTCGGCGATGAAAATGAGAATCCAGGTGGAAAACCATGGAAAAACACTTCGCCTACCGCGTATCGGGACTTTTGGAAAGGTAAAGATCAGTGGCTACCAACATGGAACATGGACAACGACGTCACTCATTTAATAGTCGATTACATAAAAGTTTTCGCTATTTAGCTCCTGATGGCTGAACTAGACTAATTATTATTGCAGTTTATCTGTTAGCTATTTATTTAAGTATTTTTATTTATCTGATTTATTGAGCCAATGATACTTGAAATTAATGAGTGTTAGTACAACCTGAATGTTAGCTGCAAAACAATGTAAATATTATCGATTAAGCCGTAATAAATAAGTTCTACGGAATAACCCATTTTAAAATATTGTTGAGTTCCACTTCAGCCTTTACTTGATAAACAATAAGTATATTGAAGTTTTTTCCAAATTGAAATAACAACAAAAATCTATTTAGATAACATAAATTCGAATTTAGTTAGTTACTCGGGAAGTTGATTCTGGTACGGAAAATTTACAAATATAAGTTATTTGGTATTTCATTTTTGCTAGATGTCTTGCGCTTTTTGTTGTAATATAATGTAATTTGAAGAAGCGATATGACGATATTTTAAGGCATAAAATAGCAATTACTTGCCGGGTTTTCTTATTCGAGCGATATCCTTTATACTCTTAGGTGTGATCCGCAGTAGATGTTATGTTAAATTACATATTTAAATTAGGGATCTAGCATTTCTCAAAATAATTATGCGACATTTGGGTAATTGCTTAAGAAGTCACTTGTGTTGCATATTTTGTAGGTAAAAAATGAAGGTATAATAATCTAGGGTTTGAGCGCCAACGATTTCGACAATTACGTTATTTGAATCAACATTTTGTTATTTTCATTTTATGACTATTGAAAATCGAACTGGAGCGAATAAAAAATAATTAAAAGCTTTGTTCTTGAGATTAGTAATAATTAACGGTTGTTGACTGTGGGCTTAATTTAAAGAACTTTTACCAACAATAGCTGCTACAATACACTGGAAGTGATTGTTTTGTTGGATCAGGTATTGTGAAAGTAATTGGCGATAGTTAAAGACAACAAATTGTGATGTTTCCTTGAAATGACGAAAATTATGTTAATATTTGAGTTATTTATACATTGCAGAAAATGACAGAAAATATGTATAAATATTAAAAAATGAAAGAAGGGCAAATTCTGAAGAATCTTTGCTACTAATTGCTTCTGTGAAAAAAACTTATTGAAAATATAATTATTTTTTGTACCATTAAACACACCTTGGCACGCATTAATTAACTTATTTGCGTTAGTCCAATCATTTTGTAAGTTTTAAGTAAAAATTCAAAAGCATTTGAAATTTTACTTCTTTATCTTTAAAATCGAAGACAATTTTTCTCGTATCTCGAAAAAAGCGGTTTCTCGACCTTTATTCAGAGAAAAATCAAAGAATTGTTTTTCAAAAGATCGATTTTGTAGTGTAGTAAATATTTCAACTAACTTGACCGTACTTATAACCATAAGCAACATTTGGAATGTTTAAATAGATATATCTCTAATAAATATTCGCAAATGTACGATGATAGTAATTACATTATTGTTTCCTAATTATTAATTGCTATCCGGCGACTTCTCGTTTTGCGAATAAAATAAATCATTAAAATCAAATTTCCAATGAATCAGATAAAACCCACATAACGCATCTTCTAAATGGCTATATCTGGTTGCTCGTGCCATTAACACCAATTGTTTAAATTACAGCTGGTCCGATATTTGTAGGAAATACTTAAAGCAAAACCTGAATATAATTCGATTATTCAACCATGCCTTCTAAAAGTATACGAATATTTGTTTAACAGCAAACATCTATATTTTGTGACAGGAACCAATCGACAAATGTAACTTAAAATAGTTCCGTTTTCCGTAATTTTAAAAAACATAGTTCTTATAAAAAACCTAAACATAGTTCGTTTTTTTTAACAAAAAAAACATTATTTTTTACGAATTTTAAAAATCGAAAATTTTCTCAATTTTTCCTATAGGCTTCTAGAACAAACCATCTTTTTCCGCATACTCAAATATTTTACAATGTCCCAAACCGCTTTAAGAACACATAGATCAGTTTGTTTTCAACATTTTAGAGCATATACAAGGTGGTTTTGTGTGTTACTTACCTCTGGGTACAAAGCGATTCATCTTTCTTCGTTTTCCAATTTTTCATTTCTCAAGTGCTTTTTCAAGTTTCACATATTAACAATATATTCAACAACTATTCGAAACATTCGCCTCTTGGTATGCATAGATTTTTTTAAAGCAAATGACAATTAAAAACGTTTTCAACTTTAACGGAAAAATCCATTCCAGAAAGTCAATTTTCAAGTCACCTTTGATGAGAACAGAAAAAATATTTAAAAAATACAATTGAGAAAATTTTAAAACACGTAGTTTTTCATTAAATAAACCGAGTTGCCATTTAAGTTTTTTTCTCAGGCCCATGGTTAACGAGATACAGGGTGTTAAAGTTTTAAAAAATTATTGGCATTTTCCCTTTAACTCCTACAGTTTATAATATATTTTGCTCAAATTTTGAATGTAGGATACTGTTTCGACCCTCTACCCCTAGGTAAGGTAGGTTAACTGGTGGCGAACATATACAGGGTGTTTCTTTATAGTGTCATACACCCCTTTTACCCCACGAAATTTTTTGTGATGCGCCACTGACTTCAAACGAACAAGTTTTTGAAATTAGACATTCAAGTTCAAGATATAAAAAAACACATATTCACATATTCTGTCGAAGTGAGTGGCGCCTACGTTCAAAATTTGAGCAAAGCATCAATTGAGCAAAATATCTCATAAACTGTAGGAGTTAAAGAGAAAATACCAATTTTTTTAAATTTTAACACCCTGTATCTCGTTAACCATGGGCATGAGAAAAATACTAGTTGTGACTTGTTTTGAGGTCTCTACAGAGTAGAGGCCTGGGTAGCCTAGGCCTATGTTGAGTTGCGCTTTTGAGCTGATGCCGCTCTGTGAGTTGGCGAGTTATAACTTATCGCGCTTCACTGCACCGCACCTCAAATTGTGTTTACGGCGGAATAATTCTTGAAGAGATATTTTAATTAGTTGAAATTTCGTTGGTTTCTATTATCGTGGTGTTTTCGCTAAAGAACCGCTTCAGATATGGAAATTCGGGTTCCAGTATTCAATATAATTAGCATCAGCTTACTGATAGTGTGGATTTTGTTCCATTTAAATCACTGATTCCTTCACAAGAAATTTTTTAAATTTAAATATTATTTTGGGAGGCTTTGTATTTTTACATCAAGCTCATCTGAAACTTGTCTCCAAAAAACCGTTTTAGATATGCAAATATGGGTTCCAGTTTTATGTTACAAAAACTCAAGAGTTTTAATTTTGCATTTTTTTAAATTGCGAAAGCGCTGAAGCATGACACCATGTCATCCAATCAACCAAATCAGCATTTACGAAGCGCGAAATATTCACGATTTCATGTGATTTGAATGAACTTTTTAATAGTCCTCTCAAATCCTGCGAACATTTTCTTAACGCTGAGTGGTTCGAAATGTTGGCGAATGTTAGAGCACATTCCTCTATACCGAACGCACAACTTATAGAGTATTTTTCGTTTCTAAGAAACTTGTGTAGAACAGTAAAATTTTCACGTAGAGAATTTCCGCAAAGTTTCTAAATTCTCAATCGGAGTGTTTAGTAATATTATTTCTAATGTTTAGTAAAAGTCACTTCTTTCTCTCAGAGTCCCAGAAGGAATGCTATCACCTTGAAATCGCCAAATAATCAATTTGTATGCGCGTTAATAAATAGTAATTTATAAACTTTGGGTAAATTTAAATCAGCAATTACTCTATAATGTTAGTATTTAACTTACTCCATATCTGTCCTTAAAAGCAGCCATTCCTTTCATCTCAGAGAGATGATACACACCGTTTTGCGAAAACGTAAGAACATGGTCTATTAATACAGTCCGGATTGTTGAATAGCTCATGTCTACAGCGTGCCCAAACGTTTCCAATCCCTTTTTGGTCAAATCCACTAATAGAAACTCTTGGAGCGTAGGTGCACACTCTCCCCACACTAGCAGTTCCAAAAAATCCACGGTAACCCCTGAAAAATATAGTTTTCTAATATTAAATGAATGCGCAAACGTCTCTCTCATGAAACTCAAATAAAAATCTCAATGAAACTCACCTTCTGCAGGTCTTTTGCGGGCATAATTAGAAAGTTTGGTATCTATGTCAAGTAAAATACTTTCCCACGTTTCAGTCATATTTGCAATGGCCCTATCTAGGTAACACATCAGCTCTTGCAGCTTAACAAATTTTACTGAGAGATAATAAAATTCTTCAAGGTAATCTCTCATGATGGACGTATTGAGCACAATGGTTTTTATGTTATGGAATTTGTCTGTTACAGTTACAAACAATGAGCTCATATCTTTGTTAAATAGTGCGTCTTTTATAGAGCATATATAACCCACTCGTTCGCTAATATTTATAGTTGTACACTTGTATAATCCAAATATGTGTATGGTTAAAATGCCATCGTTAGTTCCCATAATAAGCACATCGAAATCAGACTGAGTTTGCAAAAAGGTTAGCAAACTTGTAGCTGGCTCAAAGCTCATCGATCCTGGTGTTTGGGAGATTGTAGGCGGATCGCTTATATAATCCTGTGAGGAGTCCTAAAATTATTCTCTGATGCATTGAAGATATATGCTCCTTAACGAATCAATAAACTTACGACAAATCTCGGTTGATCCGTTTCTTTTTCAAGGCCTATATTTTTCGCTTCAGGTGATTGGTTTTGTTCTTCCTCTTGCACCCAAGCAATAAAAGTTAATTCGCCAGGCATGTGATAGTTTAGCACATTAAATTTGCTTTCGGTAACGACAATTCGAATATATCCATCACTATAAGCAATCAAGAGAAGTTTTCCATCTGGTCTCCAAACAATTTTTTTTACAGAAAGACCGGCATTTAGTGGCTCGATATGGTGTGTTCTGATTAACGACAATCGATACATAGAAACTTCGCCTGTAAAAAAAAATGAATAAAAAATTAGTCGTTGATAATACGATACATATGTGGAATATAAATGTAAAGGGTGTTTTTTAGAGGTATAGAACTTGAAATTGAAATAAAACTCATAAAATTCATGTTAAGTATGAATTATTAATTAATGGTACTGGCTTTATTGAAAAAATCATTGTATGCCATTATAGCTTCAATATAATTTGGACCATATTGGCGCCGCGGTTGGATCGAATGAATCAATCCACGAAAGAAGTCCAATTTTCAACCACTTTGATTCCACCAGACCATGGAAAAAGCACATCAAACAGTTAGTTTTTTTGAATATAACGGCGTCTCAATAATGGCTTTCGGATTTTGGATTTTCGTCTCTCTAAATTCAGCAATTTACCTCGAAAATCGTAGAAATTATTCTTCTTTTTATACTCAATCAAGACACTAAATAACAAAAGTGCAGCCAAAAGTTCCAAGCGCTCCTCGATTTCCTATTTTTGGTTAAATTTCTTCAGCTTCCAATGCTCGAGATATAGTAAATATATTTTTCCCCCTCGGCCGTATTTTCTCGTCAGTTCTTGGCCTCAAATCGCTCTTTTGCTTTTTGAATTAGCTTCTGCCTGGCTCAAAAGACGCTTTGAAAACCTGGTTCATTTGCGGTTTATTGAAAAAAGAACATCTGTTGGTTCGAAACCGTTAATTTCAGTCAAAAGGCCTTTGTGTACCAAACCAAAGAAAAGCGGCTGTACAAAAAGTTTGGAACTTTTTGCCGATAATATTTTTAAACGGCCGGCAATCTTACACCCAGTGCACATCGTTTTTAATCATTTTTATTACGCTTTTAATTAATTTTTATTGAAACGGGGCTAAAACGTCTTTCATGGTTTTTTCTTTTCAGAAAAAGCATTTTTCCTAATTTCTATTAAAAAATATACATTTTTATTATATGCTTATTATGTACTGCGGAATCTGGCATCGAAAAACGTAATTTTATTTGAGGGTGGCAAACCAGGTCCTTTGCTTTTTTTAAGTGCATTTTGTGCTGCCGTGTATTGGCAAAACCTTATACAGGGTGTCCCGTCTTCACATAACCGAACGGGTAGTGTGACGTACTTTGGCTCAAAAGAAGACGATCTTAAGCAACTTTCATTAAAAAAATATATCTGGCTCCTGGACATTGATGGCCAAAGTTCTTTAAAAAAAACGTTTTTTGAAAATCATTCATCATTCATAAAAACATAATTTTTTGATCATCAGTAGCCGATACAGTTTTTTTTAACAAAAGTTTATTAAGTTCTTATTTTTTTATTAAGTTAAAATGTCAGATCGTCTACTTTTGAACCAAATAATGTCGCAGTACCTCGTGCTTACGCGTCACTGTGTTACAGAGTAATGAGAAAGGCAAACAAAATAATTTTCAAATATATTTCCTATAAACACTATATCATCTATATCACGTTTATATGCCTAAATACCAAGATTCCGACATTAAAACCGAGTTTGTGTGAAAATCAGAATTTGGCATATTTTCGTAGATGGCGATAAATAAATATGATAACGTGGATGTTCGAGACTTGAAAATAAAATATTTAAACATTCCTCAACTAATAATAGTTTATTTGAAAATAAATTCCAAAAATTAACCAATAACAGGGAGGAAACAGTCACCAAAAAAAATCAAGGATGCAATAGCACTAAGAAATTTCAATAACTGTCTGTTAGGTACATAAAATGTGAGTGAAAATTGAATAGTATTTCAGTTATTCAACAATTCAGTCTCAACAAAGAAAATGAGCATTTTTACAATGCTGATAAATCGACATTTTCTCCGTCATTTTTAATTTAATTCAAAAGAAATTCCTGGGTTCCAGTCAATTTTATTGTTTACCATTTAAAATGTCACAAAAACGTTTCGGTGTTTTTCTCCACCATCATCAGTTTGT